CAATGAAAGGAAGTTGGGCGACGTAAAGGGCAATGGAATATGCAAAACCAAAAAAACAAAAAAATAAATATATATATATATAGTAAGGAAAAAAGTTTGATTTTAATTTTTTTGTAAAGGCATGTTGGTTGGATTTTAATTTTTTTGATAAAACTTAAGCAGTAAGGAAGATTATCACATCTCTAAAGTCATGGTAAATTGCCAATTCAAATTGGGATTTATGGATTCATTATATTTTTATCTATGATTTTTTAGACTTATAGATTGCCTACCAATGAGGCAATGTGAAAGGATTCGAACCTAAATGTTAATGCACCCAACATTCACATATTACCACTTTTGTCAACTCTCGTACCACTTTAATTTTTTTATTTTCTTCTCTTTTATTTTGTTTTTTTTTTCTAAAATTTGGTTGATTTGAATATTGAAAGGTATTCTAAAATACTATTTTTTATATTTTTCTTATTTTTTATGACAAATTTAACATACATTTCATCTTAAACTTTGACAGGCTTTTCCAAAGAAAAAAAAAAAACAATCTACATACTTTTAAACCTGTTGTGCCTTAAAAAAGGTGGCAAAAACTGAAAAAAAAAAAAAAAAAACATGTAAAGAAGAAAGGTTTTGAACAGCACCTGATGGAAGTGAAACCTTCAATTTGAAATAAATTAAAAAAAAAAAAACTTTTATTTAGTTTAATTAGACCCTTGAACTAGACGAGATTTTTTTTGACAGTTGTCTATAATTAGCTTTGATAATACTTTCCTAGGGTCGCTTTTAAAAGCCATGAAGAAAATAAGTGTGACAAATATTATTGACTAAAATTTCATACAATCTTTCGGGATGGGAAAGAAGATATAGAAATTACGAAGGATTAAAATGAAATATGAAAAAGTTCGAATGATAAAAGATGGTAATAAGTCCAATTAGGTTTGAATTGTCTATTACTAATACAGTAGTAGTGGCAGTCAAAGGTCAAAGGTCAAGATATACACAGAGGATTGTGCGGGTCCGGGTTGTTTCTCCACCTCTGTATTCGGGTTGACCAATTAAAAATTAGCCCAAAAAAAAAAAACCGTGGATAACATCGATAGGATGATTTATAAAGGAAAATACTTATAATTTTTATAAGGTACGTAAAGATTTTATTAAAAATGAATAAATAAAATTAAAAAATTTTATCATATAGATTAATAGCATAAAATTTAAAATTTTTAATAAATTTATTAAATAAATATTTTTAATAAAAATATTAATAAATTTTTTATTATTGAATAAAAATAGATCTAAATTAAATTATAAAGAACTTTTTTACTAATCTTTACATTAAATTCTATTAATTTATTAATTTAAAATTTTTATTTATTTATTTTTAATAAAAAAAAATGATAAAATTTACTTAAAAATTTTCTAGTAAATATTGTCCGTTTATAAATGGGTAGGACCGAACATAATTGGACGACGTTGATCAAGTGGGTCCCACAATCCTCAGTCTATGGTAACCAAAATGCCCTTTCCACTTTTCAGTTCCCGCCCAAAACAGAAATAAAATAAAAAAATTACAGACCTTGACTGTACGTCAATCTATTGTTTGTGAAGCTTACTTGAAAGTTGAGTTTATTCGTGTAATTTTTTCAGTCAATTAAATACAAGATTAAAGAGATTTAGATTTATAAGGGTAAATTAAAAATTTTAAAAATAAAAAATTAGAGTGAGAAACAAGAATCTGTCGCATGTTTTTTGCTTTGGAGCCAGTGAATTGGACCTTTCTTGTCTTTCTGTCTTTGGAGGCTGTGCTCAATTACGTTACTTGGGAGCCTGCTAATGGAAACTAATTTCTGCTTTTATTACTCTCAAATATGAATTAAAACCATGGTGAGGCCAACTGTTGTTGTTCAGCATAACATGTATTTAGATTCCCTATTTAAGAAGCACATAAAATTTGGGATAATAATGATTCTTGGATTAAATTTGATTTTTTTATTAATTTATAATAATATAAAATTTTAAAATATGATTTAAATTTTAATTGAATTTTTTTTAAATTAATTTAATTCAAATCAAATTTTATTAGTTTTATTCGATTTAATTTATTAATTTATTAATTTTAAATTTTTTTATATATTACTTAATAAAATTTTTGATATATTTAAATATATTTATATATTAAATAATTATTTTTATTTTATAAAATTAAAAAATATATAATTTGATTTTTTTATTTTTTATATTTTCATTTAAAATTTAATTTAATCTTAATATATTTATTTAATATCTGAATTTGATTTAAATTAAATAAAAAATTAATTCAAATCAAATCAAATTAAATAATATAATTTTTAATTATTTTTTTATTTTTTTGATTTTTTTCTTAGTCTATTTGAAACAGAGCAAAGAGAGAAAGAGCTGGAATAATCGGTGTTGTTTAGAAACAGACGTGTGTTGGGGGACGGTCCGCCCCACGAGCAAGGCCACCCCCCCTACGACCCTGCTGTCTCCGGTCAACCGCGCAATGCATTGCCGCTACATCCTACACAATATTTGCTTTCCCCGATGCACGTGCGGAACAGCTTGTGTTTCCAGCTATAAAATAAATAAATAACCTTTGAGAGAGTGAGCATTGTTTTCTTTCTCAAAAATCTGAAACAACAAAAACAAGATAAGAAACAAAATTTTTACTTGGGTTGCTTGCTGCTGTTACAATCCGTGCTTTGCGCCCCGAGTACGGAATTCTCTGATTCCTTTCAACATTATCCAATGGATTTCTGATGACTCAACACATATCATCAATTTCCCTTTTCTGCGTACACCTTTTTTCCCTTTTTTTTTTCGTTAAGTATTTTTCAACATTTTAAATAAAAATATTAACAAATGCTTAATAGTACTAGTTAGGATGATATTTTAAAAATGTATTATTTTTTTGAATTTTGGTAAAAATAAAAATAATGTATTGAATGCAAAAATATTTTTTTAAATAATAATATCTTACTTATCATTTAATCTTATATATATTATATTTATGAGCGTGAATCGAGAAATTTTTTTATGTTTTTCGTTTGCTAAACAGAATCTAATCACAATGGACTTTACATTCTTTATAACTTAATGTTCATCCAATTGGATACTACAAAACAAAGAGCTTTAATTTACCAACAAATTACCCTGTTAAAATATTTTTAAAATTAATTTTCATTAACCGGACAATACTGCCTGTAAATTCATTTCTGCTTCCCTTATTTACTATAGCAATTTGTTATGTTTTTTACTTTTAACCACACTACTTTCATATAGAAATACACTGATTATAATTTCTAATGTAATTTTTTCAAGTTTTCAATACTTACAAATGGTAAAAAAAAAAAAATTATAGCAAAGTGTTTAGGAGATAAGTCACACTTAGAATTCACGAAAACACATTAGATAACTTATATATACATATTAAATATTATTTGAGTCAAAAAACTTAAATTATTAGGTTATTCATATATTTATAGTATATCTCATTCAAATTTTTTAGTGATATAAAATTTTTTATTTGTACATGTGAACTTTATCTCAACAATCTCTCTTATTTATTTGTGAGTTCTGATCAAGTCTCACCTCAAATTTTCTATGCGAGTAAGTCCTATCAACACTTATTTTGTAGCCAAGCAACTTTATATCTTTGATGGTCTCAGTGCACCTTAGGCCCAACATTCAACATTGTCTTTTTGTGGGTTTAGGTTATCTCAATGCCCATTAAGCTTGAACTTAATCATAACACACAATTTTGTTGACTAGATTGTCTCGATGCTTCCTATTCACTTGTGAGTTTTGATTAAATCTTACATCAGCTTTCATGTATGAATAAGTCCTATAAACACCTTTTTGAATCAAACAACTTCACATCTTGGATGGTTTCAGTGCATCTTAAGCTTAGTATTCAATCTTAACTCTCTATAGGTTTAGGATGTCTCAATGCCTCTCAAGTTTACTCAATCATAGCACACAATCTTGTTGCCTAGGTTATCTTAATGTGTCTCAAACTTGAACTCAATTATAGCATACAACTTTGCTGTTTAGGTTGTTTTAATGACTTTCAAGCTTGAACTCAATTATAGCACACAACCTTGCACTCTATCATAGATTGACTCAATACATCGCCTTTTTAGGTGTTTCAATTTCACATACTTGCTACATTCAAGTTGAACTTTCAGCTTTCATATCAGTTATTGGAGAGATAAATCATACTTGAAACCTACGGAGCATGCTAAAAAACTTATATATACATGTTAGATACCACTTTAATCTAAAAGTTTAAGTTATTGAGTTTTTGGGTCTTAAGATATCTCATTGAATTTTTTACTCATATGTGAATCTTATCCCAATATAAGTAAAAAATTGGCCATAGTTACGATCTATTAAATAAAAAAATTAGTCGCTTTAAATTTTTATTTAAGTCAAAATGATAAATTAACTATGAATATATAGATGTGCCAAATCCTTTTTTTTATAAGTAAGAGGGATTTAAATTTTTAAATCATGATATATTCATAAAATATTATTTTCTTATATTAGGATTAATAAAGATTCAGACACAATTTTTTAATAAATAAATAAATTATTGTACAAAATGTTCTAATTTTATAAAGTAATTTTCCATTTTCTATTTTATTATTATATTAAAGCCATTGGTTAATATAAAATAAGTATCTAATTTATAAGAAAAAGAAAAAAAAATTATTTTTTTAAAAATAATATTTGTTAAAAAATATAAAACACAATCCTTGAATTTACTCTTAGAAGCTTGAACTTGAGTTAAACTGTAAAAATAATTCAAAATTGCCGGAAAAGCAATGTGCCAATACCTCACATTCTCAACGGTTTATAAAAGAAAAAACTTAAAACACAAAAAACGAAAAACAAAAGTGCATGATGTAGAAAAACAACAAACCATAAGGACTCAATTGCAAAAAAAAATTCCAACCCATGATTAATGATGGCATGAATCTTAATCAACTCTAAAAAAACAAACAATAGTAGTAATAAACAATCAGTCTCACTACACTCTAGTTGTGTTTTAGTCGATGTAAACAGAAGTTAGATCTTAGGCGGGAAAAGAGTGGGACCCAAGAAGTGGCACATTTCCTTTGACCAAACCCTTCCTCAATTCTAACTCTTGGTTAGGTTCCAGAAACCAGACTTATAAATGCCACACGTGTGGCCCTTCAGATAAGGGCAGACCTCCTCAGGAGCTCTTCCCCTCTGTCTTCCCAGTCCCATCCCACCACCCCCTTCTAGCTGTTGTGTTGGGTTCTTGTCTCTCTCTGTTCCAAAATTTTCATACAAGTGTGAAACCAAAACCAGGCTCCATACTAAAATTCCACAGAATTTTCAGTCGTCTCGCAGCCAAACTGATCTACTTTTCTTTTCTTTTTCCTTCTTCTCTGGAGATGCCTGGAAGTATGGAGCCATTAGATTTGGTTGGTGTTCAAGTTCCTTATCATTTCAGGTGTCCTATATCACTTGAGCTCATGCGTGACCCTGTTGCAGTCTGCACTGGTCAAACCTATGACCGAACTAGCATCGAGTCATGGGTTGCAACCGGTAACACAACGTGTCCTGTTACTCGAGCCCCACTCTCTGACTTCACTCTCATCCCTAACCATACCCTTCGCCGCCTTATTCAAGATTGGTGTGTCGCCAACCAGGCCTTTGGTATCGAGCGAATTCCTACCCCTAAACAACCTGCCGAGCCTACCATGGTTCGATCCTTACTGAATCAAGCTTCCTCCGTTTCGAATCCATTTCAGTCTCGTCTTTCTGCTCTGCGTCGACTCAAGGGACTAGCCTGCGATTCCGAGAAAAACCGTTCCATGATATCCTCCCATGACGCACGTGAGATACTCATAAGCATCGTATTTTCAGATACTGGTTCCGGTTCGTCGGAGTTGAACCAGGAGGCACTTGCACTTTTAGTAATGTTTCAACTTACCGAATCCGAGTGCGCATCAATCGCTTCGGATTCGAAAAAAGTAATCTACCTATCAAAACTCTTGCTCCATTCCTCTATTGAAGTCCGAGTCAACTCAGCTTCGCTCGTCGAAATCGTTCTCGTTGGAACAAGATCGTCAGATCTGCGAGCTCAGATAAGCAATGTAGATGAAATCTTCGAAGGCGTTGCCGACGTATTGAAAAGCCTCAACTCTTACCCACGCGCGTTAAAAATCGGCATTCGAGCTCTTTTCGCTTTATGCTTAGTAAAACAAACCAGGCACAAAGCGGTTCAAACCAGAGCAGCCGAGACTTTGATCGACCGGTTAGCCGATTTGGATAAGTGCGACGCTGAACGAGCTTTGGCGACGATAGAGTTATTATGCCGGATCCCCTCGGGGTGTTCTGCGTTTGTTGCACACGCGCTAACGGTTCCATTGTTGGTCACAACAATATTAAAAATTTCGGACAGGGCTACGGAGTACGCAGCTGGTGCACTCCTGGCACTGTGTTCGGAGTCGGAACAGAGTCAAAGAGACGCGGTAAGTGCAGGTGTTCTGACGCAGTTGCTGTTGTTGGTTCAAAGTGATTGTACAGACAGGGCTAAGAGGAAGGCTCAAATGCTGCTTAAGTTGCTTCGGGATTCGTGGCCTGAAGATTCTATCGAGAATTCGGATGATTTTTTGCTTGCAGTGAAGTCGTACCCTTTTGAATGATACTGCTTATTAGATTTTTTTTTAAGAAGAAAAGATTTTGATTTTGTTATTTTTGTTTAAATGAACAGAAAAAAGAAAATTTCAGGGTCTTAGATGAGGTAACATAAAGGAGTATTGTAATGTTCTTGTATGCAATTTTGCACGTAAGAATTTTTGTTCAGGAAAGCAAATAAAAAGATAGATATTTTCTCGGTACAAATTACAAACACAGTACAGAATCAGTTTCAGGCAATCAAATGTAACAAATGTGTTAAGTTTAGAGTGGAGAATAAACGTGGGTCTACTATCTGATAACTGGTTATAGAAAGCTGATCCTTATAAACCACATTCATATCTGAAAATTTGTCCCCTGGAATCCAGACCCCTTCATCGTTCCTTTTCTCTCCCTTTTTCCTATTTTCTCCCGAGGCCTGACAGTAAAAAATGTGGTTCCTTGTTTATTTCTTGGTTTGGTTGTACTCTGTTCATTCCTGGCTTTCTTTTTTCTCACTTTCTGCACAGGCTTGATAGGGAACATCGAAAGCTTGGAACTGGGTTTTGACCGAGGACTGCCAATATTTAGCTTTTCATGCTCGCAGCGTGCATGCGACAGGTCCACAGAAGAATCATGGGTTGCAAACAGGGAAGGGTAGGGTCCACATCCCAAGTTGAAATGGAAAAATAAGTGTGTGGCTTGAAGATTTGGGGAGATGATGGGTCACATGTTGTTGGAATAAAACCATGGATGATGGAATCACATGGGCTGGTTAATGTTCTTCCTCCCTGTGAGTGATGGCTACTAGTGCTCACATGCCGCGAAAAACAAATTGTCACCATATTTTGATTACAACAACAGATTGGAAATTCGTTTGTCTCTGCGCCTTCTTTGATTTTTGGAGCATTTGGGGCTCAACCAATAAAGTCTTCCCTTTAAACTCTTCTGAATTTGGCACGAGTAGAATTACCCACGTGTTTTATAGCTTGGAAATAGTTTGCAGAAGAACACGTCGATCTTTAGATGATGAAAGTTTTTGTGACAGTATAGCTCTCCGGATTGGTTTAGGTTGACGACAACCACAGAAAAGCTTCATGACGTTGACTAGTGCTTTGACACATTGCTCGAAAACAACCAGAGCCAGAACATGAACATATTAAACGTTGCCAGTGCCATGACCTGCCAACTGCGTCCAGACGACGAGTCAACTGGGGTAGAACCAAATTGTTGTTTAGTGGCTTTTAAACTTGTAGTAATAACTAATAAATTCCCATTGCTTTTTACAGTTTTTTCCCATCGTTCTTTGTAATTCGAGTTTGGTTTGATCAGTTATCGATCTTTGTGTTGCATGGTAGCTATAGAAAGTATGAAGTAATTATCAAGGTTTATCCATTCAAGGTTGTGAATAGGGAACAATGGAAGAGCAACACCTGCTTTTCTCCAACCTCGTACAAGACAAGAAATATATATCTGTAGTCTGTTTGGGTATGCTTTTGTGCCATAAAAAGTTTGGAGCCTAAGATTAAGCTTTGATCCTTCATGTTTGGGATTTCTTTTGTCTGAGGAGATCTTTTCAGAATAGGAAGACAAAGATGTCCATATTATAAGGGTGATAATATTATAAGGGTGATAATGGTTCAAATCAAATTTATTTTAATTCAGATTTTGTGAATAATACATAATATTATAAAATTTTAAACTTTAATTTGAATCTGAATCAATTTTTTTTTTGAAATTGATCCAATTGATTCGAACAAAATTATACATGTTTGGTTCACTGATTTTTAAAGTTTTTTATATATTATTTTAATAAATTTTTAATATATTTTAATATATTTATATATAATAGTAATTATTATTTTATAAAAATTTTAAAAATATAAAAAAAACTAATAAAAATATATAATTAGGTTCAGATGAATTTTTTTAGTTTTTATATTTTGATCCAAAATTTAATCTGAATTTAATATATATATATATAGATATTTAATATTCAAACTAATCGAAATTGAATAAAAAAAATCAATCCTAACCAAATTGAATATTACAATTTCAAACAGATTTTCCATTTTCTTGATTTCTTTCTCATCCTACCTTACTGTTACTTCTTTATGTTTCGGGCCGAGGAATCACCTTATATAAGACTGAACTTGACATTGATATCTTCATTTCTTAGCCCAATTCATCTCACTTTTGGTTGTAGATTATGGTCCACAAAACATTAATATTTAAGAAAAGGACCTATAGACCCAAAAGAGCAGAGTTCAAAGACGGTTGGAAGGCCCAAACCAACAGATTTTAAAGTAAATTAAAGTTGAAATGACTAAGTTCTGCATTTTATTTCTAATAATAATGTCTATGTAAATGATATATTAAGACCACATATAATTAGTTCCTAGTTGTGGTTACCGAACAAACACAAGTCACGGTGCATGGATCTGTTCAATCAAAATAAAGCCTGTTTCACTCATCATTGCCTTCTTCACAATACCAAATTATTCTCATCCATTTATAATCATTTGAAGAGATCAAGAACTGATTCACAAACACAGGATCATAGGGTAGTTCACAAACCAAGTCATACAAGGTAATAAAGCGATTCGTAGTTATATAGTTCGAAAGGATCTTTGAATATTTATCCTTTTTTTTTTTTTTAACAAATAGATGATAATGGTGATTTACTCAGTGTCGAATGGTGCACGTACATTTGGAGAGTTCGGGCATCATTTGTCTGCCACCATTGTCAATGAAGTATGAGGAGAGAGAGATAAGATAGGAGTTGAAAATGTTGTTATGCATTAAAAAAAAAAAAGTCATCTTACTAACAATATTTCTAACTGCAAATTCCGAAGCACGAAAGCCTATAGTTTCTGGATAACATGATAATAGGTTTGAGTTTCAGCCTTCAACTATGGACTATATATGGAGGGAGGGTAGCTGGAACCATAACTTCGTTCTAACAAACAAAGCTACCTTTCAGTATATGTCGAAAAAAGGCATATGGAGATAGCCCATTTGCTCCACCTCTTACAGAAAAACTCTGATAGCTTTTACTGAAAGAAGCAATTATATTTGAGGGTCTAGTTTCTAGCATGATCAGGAAGAGACCCAGCACATGATCTCACCTGCAGCTTGTTTGAATGATTCTTCGACTTGAAATGCCTCTGACAGCTGATTAGAAGCTCCAGTACTTGCCTGCAAGTTAATACACATCCAACATAGAATTGGTGTAAGATACAAATGTAAATTTGGTGCTAAAAAACATTTAGTTCAATCGATAAAAGGCTTTGATTCTTAAATCAACAAAAAACTTTTTGGTGCAAGTTTCCAATATGTAAAGAAATATGTATTGACTCAAAAAATTTGAGGCAGAGATCAGAGAATTACTAACTTAAATGCGCTTGAATCATAAACATGCTCCGATTAGACTCTGAGGAAACATGCACAGATATCACCTCTATTTTGTGCTTCTCCAAAATATAACAAATCGTGCTGAAGATCCCTGGTTTCTTTGGTGAACACACGCTTATTTCTTTCTTTACCACATATGTTCAACACGACGTTGGAAGAAATCCAAGTTTGAAATAGTAAGGGAAATTGAGAGACTGAAAGAGAATTCGAAAATTTTGTTACTCTAATATTGGCTAGGTCACTAGAAGATACTTGATCAGACATGAATGCCTCCCTGCTTGAATCAAAAGCTTGCTTTTTGGTGGTCATCATAGGGGGCCGATAATCAAAATTAATGGAACCTTGGAGTCTCTCTAGCTTTTGTTTTTGTAGCTTTTGTTTTTGTAGCTTTTGGAGAGTTTGTTGTAGGGTTTTGATGTCTTTTACTACTTCATCAACTATGGTCGATTTGTCAGCCTGTACAGAATAAATTCAATGGAGTAAACCCAAGAAAATAAATAAATTAATTAATACTACTAATCTAATTCATCAAATTCTAATTAACTATTCAAATCGTAAGATTAGTTATATATTATTCTGGTAATCAACTAAAACTGGGATTTGGAAAATTATGCAGATTATGACAACTCAGCTATAATAAATACACTTCCATCCATGAAAAAGGCAATGTGAATACTCATTTAATTAAGCATTCTCCATAACTGAAACCTAATATCTTCATATTAAGATCTCAAAATTTGTCAAAAACTAAGTTAAAATTTGCCCGCAACCTTAGAAGGAACCAAAATACGTACCAACAACAGATAGGTGAGTGCTTCTGCTTCCTTTTGGCAGCAATGTTAACTTCAAGAAGTTGCTCATTATGAATGATTATATCTTCTTATTTATTTTCATAAAAATTCAGCAAGACAAAGATGTTATCTTTGTTTTTTGGTTACCTTAGGAGGTAGCTGAGGAAGCAAAGCATGGAGGTTAGAAAACAAGTTCCTCATCTTCTTCCTTCTCTCTCTTTCTATCCATATATGCATCTCATGATCTGATTCACCACCTCCTCCACTACTTCCTTTCCCATTCCTTCCAACTCCTCCTCCGCGGTCTCTCTTATTATACTTCTTGGTCTCGTCTAGCAATAAAGGTTCTTGTTCTTGCTGGTTTTTACCGTCAGATTTCTCTTCACTATCTGCAGTACCACCTGAATTATTATCTGAATTGGATAAAGCTGCCCATGACTGGTTTTCCCATAATAAGAAACTTTCATGGCCGCCTTCTTCAGACATGGCCAAGTAGCTAACTAGAAAAGAGGTGAGAACATGAGAAAGAGAAGAGAGGAGGCGTTTCAAAGGTGGCGAACTAGGAAGACGGAAAAGGCAAAAGAGGGAGAGAGGGATTGTGTTTGAGGAAGGATGGAAAGAAGAGCCCAAAATACAATCATAAGACAATGCCGTTACTGATAATAAAAAAAAACGTATATATATATATACAATGCCGTTACTGAGAATCAAAACAAAAACGTATATATATATATATATAGAGGGCCGAGCCTAAAGCGCGTTGTAACGAAGGTTTCTTTATCTACATTTGAGGGTTCCACAACTCATGATGACCCCACCTTATGTTGCCATTTGCCATTTTCTTACAAGACCTGTTGTTTACGATTACGTGCCCCACTCTCTCTCACAAATTACGGTACTTTGACTTCGACTGTTTTTGAAAATACAAAGAAAGTTTAAACTTGTTTGGGGTTCGAAACATTGTTAATAATTGAAAGAAAGAGAGTTTATGTCTGGAATCAAAGTGTGGTGTTGACGCAGTAAGAGAAAAACGGCTGCTACAATCTGTAGAATGCAGAAGGAAGATGGAGTGATGATAATGATGATGATGATGATATAATAATAACAAGAAGTAAGAAATAATTTTGATAAAAATAAAGAAAACGTGGATGCGTCATCATATCAAACAGCCAGAAGCCATTTACATGGCCGTCATATATCACTAAAATCCTAGAATCATCATCATCATCACCATCAAATATCTTTCCATGAAACTGCAGTTCATGCCTTTATCCCTTTCATTTACATTGCTATACTAGAATTGCATTGGATTGGATGCTTGATTGCTTAGCATTTTTTTTAATGTTGGAAATTTTTTTTTAAGACAAACGTAAGCCTCATACTAAAAATATTGCTACTTCTTTTTATGCTGAATATTTCATGCTCTGCTTCTCCTTTATCTTCTTTTTCCACTTTGTTTTTTATCATATGTCCAAGCTTCGATACTAGACAGACAATGCCAAAACTATATCATTGTTTTTTTTTAAAGAAATGGCTTCTGAATAATTACAGGAGAAAGCACAACATGCGGCATCAATGAACTAGGTTATTAGCCTCAACAGTCAACAACATCTTATTCCATGGAAGAGGCAGGCTTTCCATTATAGCTAAGAAAGGAACCCCATTGCCTCTGTAACAAGGGGATTGATTTGGGCAGTAAACACAGTCACGACTTGCTGAAACATAATGAACTAATGTCGACATTCTTAAAGCTTTGATAATGTCATAAATATTATTTCAAATATGTTATCATCGTCATGATGCATTATGCAAGTTATTCCACAAACTCATCCTGCAATTCATAACATTAACAGTTGCTCCGTTCATGAGCAAGAAAAGCCGGTTTAGATCATATACATTCCACCCAATTATTGGATCCGATGACCCATGAGAAGAAAATTAAGGTTCTGGCTCTGACAACACCCTTTGCTCTCACTTAAGCAAGCCTGTTGTCTTACAAATAGGACACAGGTTTTTTAGCATTAACCACTGTTTGATGCAGTTAGTGTGGAAGTCATGTCCACAATCCAGTGTCCCCGTATTATCCCCATCTGCATATTCTTCCTGCCATTGTTGAAGTTCAAACAAGGTAAACAAGACTAAAACTAACAGGTAAGATGAATGAAGATATTTAAAGCAGCTTATCTACCCTCGTCTAGCATCATACCTGACAGATACAACATGGTTCCAATTCTTGTGCGGATTCTGTTGTAGTGGATGAATACTTCAGCTGTTTCATCGACTTCAGAATGGTTTCCTCGTTCAGTCCAGTGCTCACATCTCCTATGCGTTCTTCTAATGCCAACAATTCCTAGTGTTCCAGTTGCAATGTGAGAAGAATAACCTCCAATGTGAAGTGATACAACCTAAAACAGCAATCCCTTTTACCTCATAAGACATGTTATCAACATCAAGGCGCATATCTCTATGTCTGTCATGTGTTTCAGCCATACCATGATATATGAACGGATCAAACAGCATATAATCCTGAAAGGGCATCACACAAAGATCTAATGTCATACATCATATAATGTAGGAAAGGACTAACAATTATCCTCAGACAACTAAGCACTTTCTAAGCTTCCACGCGGGCGCTCCACTAATAGAGCTCTTTATCTCTCATTTGGTGGAAATCTGTTCGGAAAGTACCTAAACATGTATTCAGTATTTTCAAGGTTGAGAAGCTGATTCTTTTCCTTTGTGGGACCAAAGAGTGCAGCATCCTAGTATAATTTTATCCATAAAAGTTAAGATTCAAAGATTGCAAGAAAAAAATTTTATCTTAAAGCATACCAATTACTAAGCCATGCATGTGACCCGATAGCCATAAAAAACAAGATTAGACTATAAGGCTTGATACAAGGGAACATCACCATATCCCCACATAAATAGCTTGTTCAACTATTGAAATAATCTAGTCATTAATCTACGGACATCAATAAACCTCCTATGCACCAAATTATCCAATAATATGCTTTGCCTGAAATCAACTCTGACAGATCATTCAAGACTAAGCTAGTAATATAAATCACACAGAATTTGTTCTCCATAATAAAAACATATCCTACAATACTGCATTTATCCCAACTAGTGAAAGGAGGCTGATAAAGAATCAGAATGATATTGTATCTGCTCTTTAGCACCAATATGTCTCCAACTTTTATCGTTTCCTTGAAGAGCCAATATACATATCCACCGAAGTCATCTAACTGCTTGAAGCTACTTAGTTTTCAATCCAGTCCCAAGAAATAAATTCATTTTCAAAGAAATCAAAGCTCGTTAAAGTGCTCTTATAGCAGTTTAATTGTATCTAGAGAAGATATGGTGTGAGAAAATTTCAATAAATGGGTAAGGACATGAATTGCATAGAAACCACATCACCTATTGATAAAACTGTTGAGCAAGATAAAAGGCAAAAAGAAAAGCAAATGAATTTTTTCAAACCTAGCCAGCTAAATCATTATCAATGTAGCCAAAGAAAAAATTAATCTCTACTGCAAGCTCACAACCTTTTTATGAAAATGTCATGGCAACCTAACAATTGCATGAATCAAAAACCAAACCTCTATTCGTAAGTTATCCCCCCTGCGCATGGCGTTCAAGACTTGGCGAACCTGACACATGGAGAAGAAAATAAGCAGTAAGTTATTGGCATGTTTTCTTAAGTTCAATTGCCATTATAGAAAACACTATAATTTTACTAGCATCTATCTTTAATCTCAAAATTAATTGGTCAGCTTCTGTAATAGACATGATTTTCTGAAAAAAAAATAAATTAACAAGCTAAGAAGCAAAACAATGTAAACAGGTTATGTAACAGATATGAATTGCATAATTAGGAATTGAGCAAAATGGAGATGGTTTCAGCACTTGAAACAAAAGTAAAAAAGAAGAGGTAAATAGAAATATCCAACATCCAACAAAATTGAACAGATGAAAAACCAAAAAACAAATGAACTTAACCTGGTCAAGAGAGAACTACAGAGATGTCACATTTTAGTAGGAGAGGGACTAATAAGCCACATGATTGTCGTAACTTTCTAAAAAGCCACAGCATCCAGAATTGCATCATGACATTTCAATCTATTATAAAAATGGCATGAAAGTAATGCCAAACTGATGACTCATATGCATGGGAACTAAATATAGACTAGATGAACATCCCCTGGGTCTAATGGAGTATACAGCCTTGAAAAGCTTAAAAGGAAAAAATGATCATTACAGATGATCCAAATAGCTTGTAGAAATGCTCATATGAATGATGTAATAACAAGCCTGATTTACTACAGGTTGTTCTATTTCTTTTTAGAACAAAGTCATTTTCATGTTTTCCTTTGGCTCTTTTTTTCTCAAATAAATAACGTTCTAATATTAATGCTAGAATATCATATAAACTTAGAATTATGTCCAGATATTTGAAGATGACATGGTTCAGAAAGGGAAAATTTACATCAGAATATGATTAGATTGAGCACTAATATGACATGTTCACCGCATTGATTAATTCTGAAAGTGCAAATCATAAATAGTTGCCATGATACCAAGTATGAAACTGCAAAGTAAAGGGGGAAAATTAGACAACTACACAAGTTAACTTTTCACAAAATAAGCATAAGATTGCGATATAATTTTAAAGGAAGAAATATTTTGATAAAAATGAGGTGGATGTAAGTTTCAGATAAACACCTACAAACTGATAATCTGGGGGGAATATCAAAAATGAAAAATAGAAAGAAAATAATCCATGAATCTGCTTGTGTCCTTCTTGACAGTTCAATCTAAAACAAATGGATAAATAAAGCAATGTACATACCGAATACCCTATGCAAAATGAATTTGTGAAGAACATCAAATATGAAATGTGGAAAATAAAAGAAGAATATCAATAGCAATTTAGAAATGAAACTAATGTCTTCTTAGAAATTATTTATGATTTATATGTTTGTTTGTGTGAGTATATAAACCATATGTGTCTGTGCACACAAGGGTGTAAGTTTATATGCATATAAACACAATACTAAATACTACATTTAAATGCACATCATAGAATAGGATAACTACAATAATTCTACAACGCTACCAATCATCATTATCTAGAAAGCCAAAAGTGTTACTATTTAGTATTAAAATTAATTGAAAGCAAACCATATTCAGGTAGCCTTAGACATATAAATGCACAAAAACAATGAAGTTAAAAATTAGCAAAAAACCCCTTAAGAACACAAACCTCAGATATTAGCCGGCGTCTCCCTTCAATATCAGCAGCCAAAGCTCGCAATGAGTGGGGCATCCCAAGAATATCATCACCTTGTCTCTCCAATATGAATGCTGACCTTGGGTATGGTTGATTATTACCTTGGCTGTTAGATCCAGATGGCACCAGTGTCTCCTGTGAGGAAGCAGAAGGGCCTGAGGAAAATGGTGGAAAATGGCCACTATGACCACCAGATTCAGAATCAATTGGAGGAAATAAAGACCAAGGAGCAAATTCTGATAGTCTTTGTTGATTATGTATTGGCTGGTTGTGAGGAGGAATCCAGGCAGGGGTGGGCAAATGATGGCTGATTGAACTAGGCCCAGGTCGATTAGAAGATGGAATACCTCCAGAAGAGCTAAAATTTCCAGAAGCCAAACTCCAACCTGTTGGATCTTGTGCTACATTTCTCATCTCAGTTGCTGGTACAAACATGGGATGCTCTGCGTTGTATCTTGGGATATTTCTTATGTTAGGTTCCTCCCGTAATGCAGCAGCTCTCTCTCCAGAATTACTAGAACTTGATGGGTTGCCAGCTCTTGAACTGGAAGTACCATTCCAAGGGAAAGGATGCACATTTCTTGGCACAACAGAAATAGTCCTCATATGAGGTTGAGTAGGGGGAGAACTAGAATTTCCTGCTATTGCTGCTGTTGATCTCAAATCTAAAGAGTCACCAAATGGGGCAGCTCTAGGGTGACTAGGAAAGCCAAAACTAGAATGCGCAGCAACCCCAGTTGATGATAAACTATATGGTAAAGATTCTTGTTGGTTTACGGGATTGGCTCTTCTTAAACTTGAAGAAGAAAATGCATCACTAACTACTCTCATACCTAGCCCCACTCTTGTATTCAGCTGATCAGGAGGACTAACATTAAGGAAATTCCAAGAGGGTGTTAAACTCAAGCTGCTAGAAGCATCATTATGAGGAGTAACAGCATGCCATGCAGCACTGTCAATTTGTTGAAAAGAGCTGGAAGTACCATCAGAATAAGACTGTCCAGAAGTACCTTCAAGGGCCTTCCTCTTGCAGGATAAACCCCAACTGCCCAAAGAAGAGCCAGAGCCATCATTATTTTCGTCCCCCACATAATTAAAGCTTCCAGTTGAACTACCGACATTATCAGATGAAACAGAGGCATTAGACATCTGCTCTCTTTCTAGTCCAACTGAATTGTGGAGATTAGGACCTATACCAGTTGCCACACCTGACCCTCCATTTCCACTGCTGCTAATAAATCCTTCATTTAGATTCACATTCTGCGGGCTATGATTAGAGCTGGAACCCTGCAAATATATGGGCCCACTTCTAACCTGATTGCCACTCCAACCACTATTCAGTCTCCCAGGAAAAAAGACATTCGGTGGTTCGATCTGCCTTTCTTCTGGCCTTGGAGCAGCCCCAACACAAGTACTATAAGATGAAGACCAACCACACTCTATTTTTGTTCCATCATCATTAAGATGGTGATTTAGAACGTCCTGCATCACCTGGTTTTGCATTGTCAATCTAGAGCTTGGTTCACCAGAACTCCAGCCACTAAAGCTCTGAACTTCGGGAGTAATAGTGTTTCTATGCATTGTCCCACCAGAAGACACTGTATAATTGGATAACTGAGGTTCCACAGGATTCAGCGTGTTATGCAAAGAATTTGGTCGACCGATATTAGTGTTATTGGGACTAGATCCCTCATCAATGTTAACAGTTTCAGGGAAGGAATCAATGGTGCCCCCCTGACCTTGCATCAGGGACAATATCTTCCACCTAGAAATATGTCAGGGATGCTGAATATTATTCCAATTTTCCAAAACAAATGCCCATTCTAGCTACAATGTCCATATTCTCATTTCAGAAATGAAAAAGGAAAAAAAAAGTGGGAGAGGCGTTATCTAATGCAGGAAGAAAATTATGTAAAGTATTTTTTAAAAAACCACAATATTGCAGCCCAAACTTACAAAATAAATTCTGAAACTCCCGAGTTTTATAGCTTTCCCAGGTCATATAAGATTGACCGATTCCATTTGGTGTGTCACGTATGTCAGCAAACGAAAGTCCCAGCCAGTAAACATCTTGAACTTAAAGAAATAACTGCCTCAGTGACAACAGATATTGGTTTTTGACAGGAGGAGCAGGCAAGAATAACTTCATGTTACATAGCATGCAACATGAAATCCTAAGAAATTCAAGTAGATCAAAATTAAGTTAAATACTGAATATTGGTCTATCAAAACAAAAACAGAGTACCAACAGTTCTAGTTTATAACATGCCAACTCAATTAGAGATCAAGATATGAACTGATATCAATTGAGAGGTAGATGGTTTTAAGGAAAGCAGTTGATTGACTACTTCTTTACCCCCAGAGACTTTCTGCATGGCATCCATAAGGCAGTAAATCTCTGGCGCAGGACACCCCAAGCATAAATAGTAGATGATCTACTACATTAAGTTCTTGAAGTAGGAAGCAGCAAATAACAAGAAGAGCCAAATAAAAAGAAGATTAATAGAACTTAACCAGCTAAAAGAGAATGTTTACAAGAGATCACCTTTGAGTCTATCTCAAGCATCACCTAATGAGGCACTGGTAAAGGATAAAATATTAATATGCCCAAGATGAATGACTGTTATGTCTTTCCACTCATAACCCCCCCTCCTTATACATTATAATCGTTGGTTTATCAATATATTGAAATGACTCAAACCAGTTGAACAAGAAATTATTATAGTTTTTACTATTCATATCCTACTGTCTTGAGATTTAACATACTTGTGGCTGTTACTTTGTTCTTTTATCAGCATAGTGCCTCTCGTGCAACATAGGTTACACGCAGGATAGGTACTCAAACTCACAGCTCAGAACCGCACACATGAAAATGCATCAGAGCATGTACAAAACCAAGTTACCTGAACTAACCAGCTCAAATTTAAGGTAAATTATTTTTAACACTAATTAAACCAGCCTTTTCATCAACTCATCTGCTGAACATTCATATTCAGAATGACTTTGAGAGACTCATAACTGTAAATACAATGCAAATTTAGATACTTGGGTGCAAGATGCCAACTTTAAGCCAGCTTAGCAAACCAATCTTTCTTCCAATATCTTTTCCACCTTCCATTTTGAAATATAAAGATACTCTATTCACAACCACTCAATTCATGTGCAAAATCACGATGTTTTAAAACTAGTCATTCACATTAAGAGCAGAGTCAACCAGTCAAATTCACGGCACTATGACCAAATGGGAACAAACCAAGGCCATTGCCACAAGCCTACAACTCAACCATAAATTTCTCAATATCTTCATGCATTGTCATCCATAACCAGCTGCAAGCTAGAAGTAAAATAGAGAAACAATGGATGAGCAATGAAAGGTAACATCTGATAGAAGAACAATGATATTAAATTATTACCACATATAATGTGCTCGTTATTTAACACATAGCTTCGGCTCACAGACAGTGAAGAGTTCAAAATCTTTTGGTGAAGAACATTCAGGCTTTTGCACGAAATGCTTCGAGGCAAAACTAGCAGATCAAAAGGAATAAAATAAAGAGATAGCAAGAAAAGGAGATCAAAATGTCGCTTCTTCAAGCCTCAAATTACAAAACCAACAAAATGTAATATGCAGAAGCAGGATCTCAGCCATCTAAGTATGCAAAATTAAGTATCTGCATAAAAAAAACACAAACTTTATCACATTGACAAATCCATAAAACTAAATGGAAAAAACCCCAAAAAAAGTCTTTTAGAAATCATGTAAGCCGCTTCTTGTACTAGTAAAGCTTTGGGTTTTGGACAAAAAGCGATAAAACAAGAAAACCCAATCCCGTTTCTTCCTCTTTTTAGTAAAAAAAAAAAAAAAAAAAAAACCAAATTAGCATCAGAAGATTAAATTGAAGAATGCCTATATCCAAATATTTGAACAATTTTTTATTAAAAAAATTAAAATCGCAAATGCTTGTAGATATAAATACCCAATTAAAATAAAAACCCAACATGGGTCGACCTCTATCCCTCATATTCTTTCATAAAAATTGAAGAAAAAAATAAAGTGAACAACCATAAAGTTAGCAAAAAAAAAAAAAAACTAAGAAATCCCATAAGGTAAAATTAAACGATCTTAAAAATCAAACTAAGTTAGATCATTAAAGCTAATATATTTTATTTTAAAAATTGCATGGATTAAGAGAAATACCTGCAAAAGAGAGCTGAGACGATGAAACGAAAAGCCATACAAAATTGGGTCTTTAAAAGGGTATTAAGAGAAACAGTCGTCGGAATCAGCGGCGTTTCTTCTTTTTTTTTTTTTTTTTTTGGGAGTTCTTGGACTTTTCTCTCGGTCTCCTTCTCGTTGTTGTTTTGCTTTGTGTTCGTTCAGTTACTTTTTATTTCTGACGACAGAAAAAAGAAAGAGACAGAGACACATAATATCAGAATAGGACAAGATCAAACCACTGAAACAATGGATGAGAAACAGACGAAGCGAGCAACTTGCATTTTGTTTGTAACATTGGCTTTTTCCTTTTTGTACAGTTTGTAAAAAAAAAAAAAAAGGTACAATTTTTAAATAAAGAAATAAGCTTTTGTCTAAATTTTAAGATTGAGGGTGAGATCAGTAGTGGTGGTATTGGTGGGAGGAAGGTGTCTTATTTTTGTTCTACACGTAGCTTTCATGCATTACCATTGTCCCCATTTCCCTTTTGTTTTATTTTAGTGTTATTATTATTTTCTGTCTAATAAATAAAAGAAAAAGAAAAGTAGTAACCCTGAAGCTGAGGGATCTGCCATTGATGATTGGGGAGACAGCCAGCGCAGCAAGGGATAAAGTATATAATAGCAAGCAAAAGGCAATTACTTTATTTCCAATTCTGTGAAGGGAGGATGCAATTGGGCCGACCAATGCTTGGTTCGGTTGGATAGGCAAACAAGGCTTTAGAAAGCCAAGAGTGGTTTTGGGTTGTCCCAACACCCAACATCATTTCAACACATTCATTATAATTATTTTAATAAATTAATATTTAATAAATTTATAATTTTAATTTTAATATTTGTAATTCATGACTTTGTAAAAAAAAAAGTTATAAATGATAAAATTCATGTTTGGTTTGAAAGATACAGAAGAATTATGGGAATTTTAAAGAAAATTATCTTTCTAATTTATTAGTATGCAATTATTTGATAGATTAATATCTTTAATAATTTATTATTTACTTCAAAATTATCAAGCCAATATAAAATTTTAAATACTAATTTATTTTTTTGAAGTAATTTAAATATCTTTAACAAGTATTGATAGTACTATAAAGCATCCTAAATTTGGTAGTACTGCCTCTCTCATTTTTTTTTATCCATCTTTTCTTTTTGACATGTTTTAAACTTATGTCTTATTTATTTTTTTAAATATCTAAAATTACTTTTTTATAGTTTAAAATTATTTTTTATGATTTTTTTACTTTTTAATATTAAAAATAATGAATTTTAATTTCATAAAAAAATTTTAATTTTAATATTATATATATATTATTTATCCCTAATAAATTAGAATTTAATCCTTTGGAGTCACTAGAAAAGCCCATTGGATCGTATAAATGGACTAAATCCAACCTTATTAAAATTCTAATGGACAACCCAAAAAAAATGCAGTGGAGGTGATAAGAGTTTGCAAAACTCACGTGCCCCAAAAGAAGGTTCCAAAAAGGTACAAAGCCAGATGTGTCTAAGTATTTGGTCCTCTCTGATTCACCCACCCAGCACTCTCTGACACAAATCTCGATTTCCAAGAAGACCAAAATCCTCATTCCCCGACAAAAAGGCTTATTATGGATCCCCGGGAATTGTCAGTTTTACTCTCTTCCCTTGTCTCTCAACTTCTCTTATTGCTTCTGCTTTTGTTCAATTCAAACAATTCCAATGATTTCGTTTCGGATGGGAACACCTTTTCCATCCTCAACTATTTGCTGTCGTCGCAAGAAATCGCCGCTACTCTTTCCTTTGTTTCTGTTTCCAGGAAACGGAAGAGAACCCATTGTCCAGAATCTGATTCTGAACCTATTGGTGAAGAAGGCGACCCCAAACTCGGACATCGACTCGGCGATGACCGAGACAGATTCGGCTTGACTCGGAATCCTGACTCGTTCAAAGCCTTCTTTAGAATGAAATCTTCCACCTTTGAATGGCTCGCTGGATTGCTCGAGCCTTTGCTAGAGTGCCGTGACCCGGTTGGTTCACCGTTGAATCTATCGGCTGAGTTACGGCTTGGTATTGGTTTATTCAGGTTAGCCACCGGTTCAAGTTACCCCGAAATCGCTCAACGATTTGGGGTTTCCGAGTCAGTGACTCGTTTCTGTGCTAAACATTTGTGCCGCGTTTTTTGCACCAATTTTCGATTTTGGGTTGCATTTCCTAGTCCAGAGGAGCTAAAGTCTGTATCTTTATCTTTCGAACAATTTACGGGGTTGCCAAATTGTTGCGGTGTTATTGATTGCACTAGATTCAACATTGCAAATGAAAACAATGGAAGCATTGATAGCATTGCTGCACAGATAGTGGTGGATTCATCATCGAGAATTTTGAGCATTATTGCTGGTTTAAAGGGAGATAAGAGAGATTTTAGAGTCCTTAAATGTTCAACTCTGTATAAAGATATTGAGGAAGGGAGGTTACTCAATTCAAGCCCTGTGCTTGTTAATGGAGTGGCTACAAGACAATATTTGGTTGGTGATAGAGGGTACCCTTTGCTTCCTTGGTTAATGGTACCTTTTGTTGATGTGGTTCCAGGGTCAAGCGAAAGGATGTTCAATGTGGCACATAGTGCAATGCGTGTTTCAGCATTGAAAACTATTGCTAGTTTGAAGAATTGGGGAATTTTGAGTAAACCAATGCAAGAAGAATTTAAGGCTGCGGTTGCTATTATTGGGGCTTGTTCGATTCTGCACAATGTTTTGCTTATGAGAGAGGATGATTCTGCATTGTGTGAAGGGGTGGGAGATTACTTGGTGCATGATCAGAGCTCTCAGCACTACGAGGAATATAGCTTGGAGGAGAATTCAATTGGGAAAGAGGCTTCTGCTATTCGAGCTGCATTGGCAACAGAAGCTAGAGAAGCTCATGTTTCAAGTTTGGTAGGGGATCCCAGAGGTTCAGTATAATTGTAGCTCAACTAGATTGCTTGATTCAGTTTCAGAGTCTAAACGTTACCAGATTCGGACCATTGATGATTCAACAATTTTGAAATAGGTAATTGACGATTCTTTTGCTCATTTGAAACAAAAATACTTTCATCAGGACTAGACATTTTTTCTTCCTGGCATCACTCATGTCATGTCAACAAGGTACTCCTTCCTTTGTACCAAATGATTTTTGAAGATGAATCTATTTCAGCTTCCTACATAGATGTCAAAGAACAACATTAACGAATTTTTCTGTCTGATTGTAGTAGTATTTATTAGATGGTAGCTATTTTTGATTCAATGAAAAGCTTGTTCTTTGTTTTCTGGTGCAACAAGTCTTTTGCTCTCTATTGAGAAGTGGAACGGTAGATGATAGACCACACATTGCAAAGTAGAGCTGTGACCATGATTTAACTGAAATATGACATAAGATGGAGAGAATTTGGCATAGTCAACTCATTCTGTTACAGTCAGTTTTCCCAGTTTCAAGTTCCTTCGTAATTTGATTATTACTTTTTTTCCAAGATAGATGTATGATTAAGTTGGTTATGATTTAAAACGACTGAAAAAACAGTTGGCGTGCTTGGATACCCACTCTGAGGGAAATGTAGCTTTCCTCACCTTGACCATTTTAGGACCAAATGTGGTCACTCTGCGATTCCAGAACCTCATGCAGCAGAGTGCTTTGTTCTAGAATACAATTCAGTTTAGGGTTGAAATTTGGATACTCGCTGAAATGTATTATTGGAGACTTATTGCTTAAAAATATGATATAGTATTTGAATTTTTGAATGATACAATCAGCAGGGAACTCATTTGATGCAAGCAGTAGGATATTGCGGCTTTTAACTGTGTGATTTGACTTATTATGTATCAGTATCATCTTTCATTTCTGAATCCAGTTTCACAAACTTTCAATTCTTCTTCCAAAAGTTGGTGACATGGAGTAATTACAAGGAGAGTGCTGTAAAAATGTCTTACAGATCAGACTTTCTCCTCTGTGGAAAACCTAGACAATTGTGTGAACTGTCTTTATTGGCAGAAAGAGACACCTGATTCTAAAACACTGCTGCTGCATTCTGCTCATCAGCCCAAATTTACCTTGTTTTTGAAGTGCTACAAGCAGAACCAACATCTCAAAAAGGCACTGTTTAAAAGAAATTTCAATTGCCGAGACCTCACATCTGAAGTCTAAAAAAACCAGGATTCTTCATTGTTACCTTGCACCAATCAATAAGAATCTCATAGATTTCGATATGCTCAAAATAAAAAAGTTTGAAACTGAAGCATAGCAAGAAAAAGCAGTGTATTTGATGTTTACCAGACAGAAGCTGGAAGATTTTCAGATTGTGGATGATCAAAATATGAGAGAAAAGATCATTGTCAACTGATGCTACATCTTATGGCTTGAAAATTGTGGTCTATGCGTTAAAGACTCAAGGTACACCAGGGACAACAGAGCTGCCGGCGGAGTAAAAGGTTGTTTTGGCTACAACAAAGACGGCATGACTGAGGAGTTTCATTTCCATTAGTATGATCACTAATTTAGTGTTATCTGGATTCTGGAAAGAAATTAATTAATGTATGTCTGAAAAAAATAAAAAATAAAAAGCCTCAATTTATAAAAGAGTGAAAAAATGAGATAATTTCAAGAGATCGATTATGTTGTATTCTAAGCACTTGGTAAAATTTTGCCGAGGATACTGACCAACAAATCCTCAAATTTTGGCAGAAAATTTGACAAAAAGTTTTTTTTTTTTCTTATAGAAGTACAAAAAGGTGAAAAAAAAAGAAATATATACGTAAATTCATGTGATGCCATTGAAATGTGTTAGGTAATGGGTTGAGTGGCAAATGGGCTGGTCCCTTCAAGGAAACGCTACAACTACAAATCAGCTTCATCATTAATACACAAATAGACAATACATTCGCTCTAGCGGCGATTTATTCGATTTTTTTAAGTGACGTATGAAATTATAAAATTTTAAATTTTAAATTAAATTTTTATATAATATAATTTGATTGAATTTAAATTAAATTAAAATTTATCATTGATTTATGAGTTTTTTAACTTTCATTTTTTTGTTTATATATATATATATTATTTTAATAATTTAAGTATACAATAAATATTTTTATTTTATAAAAATTTAAAACATATATAAAAGCTAATAAAAATATATAATTTAATTTTTTATTTTTTACTTTTTTTATTTAAAATTCGATCCGAACTTAATATATATAATATCTAAACTAAATTCAAATTGAATAAAAAAATTAATTCAAACCAAATATTACGATTTTGAATTAATTTTTGGTATTTTTACCTCTACTGCCTATCAAATATTACAAATAAAAATAGCGGCAAAATCCATAAGATGTAGTATAAAGATAACAATAGAGCTAATATTTGTTATTTTTTAAGTTTTATATTTGAATTCGTTTTAATTTAATATTATTATTTAAATTTAAATCCGTTTAAATAAGTATTATTTGTTTAAATATTTGAATCGATTAAAATATTTATATATTTAAAATTTTTGTGAAAAATGAAAATAAACAAAAATTTAATTTAAAATTTAAATTCACTTTTAATTAGTAACAAATAAAGGTTATTTGTTAAAATTTGAAATTTTCAGCAAATATAAAATTTTATATATTCTATATATGTAAATAATTAATAAATTCGGGTACAAATTCATATATCTATTACTATTTATTAAAATTTAAATGAATTTTGATATTAAATATATAAGAGAAACTATTCATATTTTATCAAAATTCATTACAAATAATAAAATTTTTATTTAAATTTATTAATGATCTATTTATAATTATCAAAATCTAATATAAATGAATAATAACAAATATTTATTTATTTATTATCCATTTTCATTCAAAATGAGTAAAACCAACGAAGAAATATAATAATAAAAAAAAAGAAAAAAGAGAGGTCTAGTTAGGGTTGGTATCGGGTCAGGTTCATGATAGGTTTTATTCGTCCCGAATTCGATCATACTCGAAAAAATTTTTTTTTTTATATCTGAATCCGATCTTGACCCGATACTATATAAATCGTACCCAACCTTATTCGATCCAAAATTAATAAAATATTATTTTTAAATATAAATATTTAAAAATATTATTATATAAATATATATATAAATAAAAAATTAAAAAATAATTTTTTATATAATATCGAATCGGATCGGATTTATCTAAAATTTGAACTCGATCCGACCCAAAATCTGAATTAAAAAAAAAAAACGATCTCGTAAAATCAGATCGGATCAAAATTTATTGGGATCAGGTTGGATTCCCGTCCTAGGACCAGCAAAGGCAGAGGCAAAGGGTTATTAGCACCAAAGCTTTGACTCAAACGCGGTATTCAATTTTTTTCCTTGATTATTATTTATGGTAACGAAATTAAAATCAACATCCCCGGGTTTCCTTTCATTCTTACTAGAAATTAGAAAGTCAATTTGTTTTTTTTTTTATTAACTATAGTTAATTTCTTTCTGTCAAAGTTGCTTATTTCCAATAATTTCAATCCAAACATGATAAAATCCCTTATCCATTAAAAAAGTTGAAAAAAAAAAAAAGAATTACTAGAATTAACAACTTTATATTTTTTTACTTGAATTTATTTTTATTAATAATTTAAAATTTAATATATTATAAATAGATTACGTGATTATTGATAATAATTTTACATGTTATCGCAAAAAAAAAAAAAAAATCGTAAAATCATGAAACATAAGTAAACTGAGTATTGAGAATGGAAGAATCATCTCAAGTATATGCAACTTTGCAGCTCAAAGTAGTTTAGCTCTTCATCTTGACACCAACTCCCTTTAGATTTTCCTTTTCCACTCTTTTCAGCAAGGCTTCCCCAATTCACCGACCTCCTACCAACTCTCCATTTGCTTAACATATACATAAGCCAACAATAATGATGGTAGATCCCCCCCGCTACCATCCAATCGAAAATCTACTATTAAAGAGGTTGCAATCAAAATTTTTTTATAAAATTATTAGTATTAAAATTTGAATTTCATATTTATTAAATATTATATTTTAAAGATAATTGAAAGAATTAATTTAATTAAATTATAATTCAATTTTATTATATTTTAAGTAAGATGAATTAATTATATGACTAACTAAATATTCTGATATTTAAATTTATTTTATTTTTATACTATGGTCATAGATATTCACAAGCTTTATTTAAATTTAGATATCTTATTTTTTTATTTCTTTAACAAAATAAGTATCTTAATTTTTATTACAAAACACCAATTTGACTTAAAATTAAATAAGCATTGATAGGGTGGTAATCCGTTACATGATCATAAATATTTAAACAATGATTGGTATAAAAAAACTTCAAAAAATGTTTAAAGTTTGGTAAAATCATAAAGCTTAAGAAAGTAAAGTGATATCATAATTCATGGATTGACCTCATCATCGTGTCATGACTCATCGGCTGGGTCCCAATAATCATGCAATTCTGGGACTTCACCAACCCCCGACCGGGTTGGCAGAAGGTTCAACCACCGAAATTCTCGGTCCAACCGGGATTTTCAATTTCCATATAAGCCCGTTGCGTTTCCTCTTTTCAACTCAGGTTACCATTCAAAGGCAATTGAATCTCTCAGTTTTAGGAAAACAGGGAGGCAGAGAAAGAACCCTTGAGGATCTGTACCAATGGCAACCACTACACAAGAGAAGCAATCACAGGCTGGTAGGCACCAGGAAGTTGGCCACAAGAGCCTTTTGCAAAGTGATGCTCTTTACCAGGTATCGTCTTTAAGCTTCCAATTAAATTATTGTTTGATTAAGTTGAATCTTTCATTTTTAATCGAGGTTTTGACATTAGTTTTTTATTTTATTAATGGGATTTTGTTTTTGCAGTATATTCTGGAGACTAGTGTCTATCCGAGGGAGCCTGAATCCATGAAGGAGCTCAGAGAGTTGACAGCCAAGCATCCATGGTTCGTTTCTTGATTCAGATTTTCAAAATTTCACCACTATATGGACCTCCTTTGTGTTTTTCCCTCTCTCTTTTTTTTTGGATCGGGTTTTAACTATTGTTGATTTGATTGGAATGGTTGGAAACAGGAACCTTATGACTACATCAGCTGATGAAGGCCAATTCTTGAACATGCTTCTTAAATTGATCAATGCCAAGAAAACCATGGAGATTGGTGTCTACACTGGCTACTCTCTCTTAGCCACAGCCCTTGCTCTCCCTGATGATGGACAGGTAGTTAATGATTTTTCCAGACACAATCAAATGATCTATTTCAAGACACACACAAAAAGAATTTATCCTTAAATGACACTGGAAATTAAAGTCATTTTTTTTTTTTGCATGTTTGCAGATCTTGGCCATGGATATTAACAGAGAAAACTACGAGTTGGGTCTGCCAGTTATCCAAAAGGCTGGTGTTGCACACAAAATTGATTTCAGAGAGGGCCCTGCCATGCCAGTTCTTGATCAACTAGTCGAAGATGTAAATTTCACCAACCCCAACCATGTTTTTCTTTTTCCTCAGAAATTGTCAAAAACTGAGTTATTTCTATGTGGAAAAATTGGCAGGAAAAGAATCATGGATCCTTTGATTTCATCTTTGTGGATGCTGATAAGGACAACTACTTGAACTACCACAAGAGGCTAATCGATCTGGTGAAAGTAGGTGGTTTGATAGGCTACGACAACACCCTATGGAATGGCTCGGTGGTAGCACCACCTGATGCTCCTCTCAGGAAGTATGTCAGGTATTACAGAGACTTTGTGTTGGAGCTCAACAAGGCTCTTGCTGTTGACCCCAGGATTGAGATCTGCATGCTCCCAGTTGGTGATGGAATCACGCTTTGCCGTCGGATCAAATGAACCACCACCACCACCACCCAAGGTTGACCACCTTTCATTCGGCACAAAATATTCGACGTCAATATCATATATGTATTTTCAATCTTCAACTCCCATCTTTTTATTTTTATTTTTTTTTTAATTTCAAATCTTAAAATTGTGTATTTTATCGTAATGCACGGTGGATGATTGAAGAATGCCACATTAATACGGTGTAAACTCAATTTGATATTTTTAAACATGCCTATCTACCTTATCAAATTAATTTCCAAGCTATAAATTTAAATCCTCTAATTTTAATATATACTTTAGTTAAAAAAATATTACATTCTTAAATTATCTCGATTCTGCAATCTTCAAATATTAATTTCAATAATATATCAATTAATTAAAAAAATAATCAACATAAAATATTTATATTTATTAAAATTAAAATTTAATATAATTAATTTATATAATTATTTTTAAAGTAAGATACGACGTATAAAAAAAACTTTTATAATTGATCAATTTTATTTTATTTGTACTCGAGGATTGCGAGATCTACAATGCTTTATCCTAACAATTATATGGAAACTCATTCTTGTACACAAATAGTTTAGATTCCAAGCAAGCTACGATTAGATCAGAAGGTTTTTACAATTAAGAATCATTATTCATGGCTAGCTGGCCTAAATTCAGGATACCTGATTGATGGAGAGGTTTCACTAGAAAATTTGATGGCAGCATGAAAGACCAAGTAGAAACCAAGCCTAAAAAAACAAAATATAAGTGTTAAAATCTCATCAAATTTTGGGAAAGACCCAAATTAGATCCGGACCTTGTGAGTATTAATTTATTGAACAAAATGACAGCATATTAGTACATAAAATTTATTTATTAATATATAATTAAATTGTACAAAATAACCATCACATTTCATTTTTTTTAATACAAATTGATTAAATTAATTTTAAAAAAATTAAAAAATCATTTAAAGGTCAACAAACTTTGTCCCATGGTGGGGTTTTAATTTTTGTTGTATTCGATTAAATTACTCAATTAGGCTTCCAACTACCAACAACCGTATATCCACTAATGATGACCTTTATTCTTATCTTTCACTGTTTGGATAGCGATCATTTTCTTTGGTTAATGAACATGTTCAAGGCATAGTTGGTGGCTTATTAATGATTGAATTGTTAAGTGAATTTGTTTTACATTTAAGAAGAAAAGGTTATTATCACCGGTGGTTTTAAATTATAATAAAATATTTAATTAATAAAATTTATTATTTAAACTATAAATGCATCAATTAATATGTTATTTAAGAATTATTTATTCATTATTATTTAAAATTAATTATAATAAAAATAAATATCATATTAACTAATAAATTTTATTATTTAAATATATTATAATTTATAAATTATTTCATGATATTAATCCAACGACAGGACAAAGAGGCTAAAAACCATATATCCTAAAAATTTATAAAAATAACAGAACTTAGAATTTAATCTTAAAATGGAAGGAAAGAGGTAGATCAAATAATTTTTATATTTGTGTCGTAAAAAATATTAAAATTTATATATTTATATTATATTTTATATAAAATTATGTATATATAAAAATAGAAAATATAATTTTTTATTAAATTTATATATAATAATAATAATTATTATTATTTTAAATTATATTATATTTATATTATATTTTAAATTATCAAAAGAAGGAACGAAATAAAAATATAAGCCCAACAACCTCTGATTTCCGACCGTCTATTCAGTAGTTTGGAAATAAACCAAACAATAATGATAAATAAAAAAACAGTTGCAACTTGATTTATTTTATTTTTCGTTGGAATTTGGCCCACATCTGCTCTGCAGAGAGTGAAAGGGGGAGACGAAGTGGCTGCGGAGATTTAGGTTTGAGAGGAACTGGTGAGCCAACAGACACCACTCAAAGACGAAGGCGCCCACTGTTGGTAGAGGGAGTCAATCAATCACCCATCATTCATGCCATCCGCGGACCTACTCTTTGAAAACCTCGCCATCCGAGCCTAGGACACCAAGGTACTTAATAAATTCTTTTAATATATTGTTTCTTTTTGTTTTCTTCATTTATTCACTTTGTTGGACATATATCTGTTTAGCCGCTTATCACCGCCAATCTTGTCACGGCAAAAATTTTCTTAAATTCTGTGCCCTCAATTAGGTAGTTGAACTGTTTCATCATTGATTAAATATTTAATTTTATTAAAAAATTTATTTGTTAAATTTTTCATAGAAAATAATTTTTTTATTTTTAAAAAAGAACAAAATTATTTATTCTTCTATAAAAATATCACAAAAATTTAAAATTTTATTTTTTATCTAATTTAAAAATTTGTAAATCTTCTCGATCTTTTAAAATTAAACTATTTAAAATAAGATTTTAAAATTTTTAGAATCTATTAATTTGTTTGGCCAATTCTCACTAATTTTGACATATTTTTTGAAAAACAAATTTATTATCTTGAAATTGGGATTTTCAAATTTCATTTGTAAGATTATATAAATGGGTAATCTTGTTTTATAAAAATCTTTAATTTTTAAAAAAATTTATTGTGATTTCAACACGTTTTTTTCATTCTTTTGATAATCTTAGAATACGACATAAGAATTTATTGATTTGGATCTTAAAAAAATTAAAATGGTTTCATTACCTATTGTAAATGAATCCTTGGCGTTTCAAAATATAATTGAGGGTGAAAAAAGTATACTATGTTAGAATATGATGCTAAAGGTTGAAATGGAGATTGAAATCATAACCTTTAGAATTACTAAATTGATTAGAAGAATCTTGTTTGAATTGCTTATGATCTACAAAGATTATAAACTTACCTCAAAAGTTTATTCTTAATCGAAATTTTGAAATTTTAAGCCTGCATTCTCCATGCTGGATGTTGTAATATTTTTTTATTTTTAGATACATGCATTAAATATTTTTAAATGCAATGTATATAATTCAACTGTCAATTAATGCATTTTCAACTACTATCAAGATAAATATAAAATAACTTCGGATACCATTATCGAAAATCTTGGATATCATCACTAAAAAATGTAAATATCTTTAGATATCGTCATCGAAAAATTTTGATGAAACTAGAATACTCAAATATCATTATCAAGTGAATTTGTTTAAAACTTGACTACTCAAATATTACCATAAAAAAAATGTAAATGCCTTCGAATATGACCATTTTAGAAAAATGCAAAATAAAATTTCAAATATCGCATTGAAGGATTCTCGACTACTCAAATTGTTGCAGACAAAAAAATTATCTTTTTAATAAAATTTTAATTAATTTTAAAATTTTATTAAAAAGATAAATTTTAATAAGTGATCAATCACATTTTAAAAAATATATATAATAACAACTCTTTGTGTTCAAGAGTTTTTTACCTCTATCCATATGATTTGCTTAAAAAATCAATAAGATTATTATTAATTCATTTGATATATTAAAAAAATTATATTAATATAAAAAATTATATAATCTATTTTTTAAAGATTATTTTTAAATTTTTATTTTTTAAAAAATGTTTTACAACTTAATTATTCGTCCTAATAACAAAATTTTCAATTGCTAAATAAATATAAAATCTAATGAAAGTTTTTTTTTTTTTTTATAATTTTCAACTATTATAAAATCTTATTCATTTGATTTAAATTTTTTTGAATTATAACCACAAACTAACTCTTAGTTATTTATTCTGAATTTAGGTACACGAAAAAGAAGAACAAGGAGATACGCGATCGTCGTTGACGAGTGAGTTCCACCGGGTGACAACGCGAACCAAGGAAATAGAACAATGAGGAACAAAAATTATAGGAGAAATAAGTATTTCCTGTAATATGTTTACATATGAACAAAAAGGTATATTAAATAGATATTTGAGGTAACCAAAGCCTAAACAAGTTGATCTTGAGTACAAAAAATGCAACTTACTTTGAGCTCAAGCTTGAGATTTATATACATTGACAGAACTGTATGCAATATTCCTCTATTTAGGCCATATCTACAGGAAATTCACAAAAAAATCGCAGTTAAATATAACGAGTCAAATTAAAATAAATTTTTACTTACTTCGAATTCAATCTAATTTATACTCATAATATCCAAACCGAACAAAAATTTTTTTTTAATTTTAAATATTCAAATTTAATCCGATTTTATATTCATAATATTTGAATTTAATAATAATTTTTTTATAAATAATCAAATCTGACGTGATCTGATATAATATAAAATTATATTCAATCCAATTCAACCTAAATTTAATAAAATAATATTTTTTAAAATATAAATAATATATTTTTAATATAAAATATTATTTTTTAATGTAAATATAAAATTAAATAAATATATAGGATTGGTTTGCCTAAAACCCAACCATAACCTTTTTTTTTTTTTTTTTAACTATTACCCAACCTGATTTTTTTTTTATTACACGACTCAAAACCAATTTTTTAAAAAATAAAATAAACCTACCCTATGAGAAAGGGTCGGATTGAAACCTGTAAGAAATGAGTTGGGCTGCCATTCCTAATAACAATACATAAAATAAAAAAAATATTGATTAAACTAAATCAATCAACAAAAGCCAACTCATTCCGTAAGCACAAGACCTAAGAATCCAACAAAAACCACATCCATTAAAGCTATGAATCAATAATAATAAGGGTGCAAAGTCGAATATTCTTACTAAGGATCCATTGGATAGAACTATAATCAGACTTAATCATCCCTTTCCACATTATTTCCTAACACTTTACCATCACTGCTATCACACGACAATGTTTCTTATATAAATGAAATTAAAATTCGATCGTTACTTATATTATCAAGCACCATTAATTCATTAAAACCACCTAAGAGAAACCCAAGGACTATCTGAACCCCCATAATTAAACTAATCAAGAACAAGAATAAGAAAATATACATAAATAGCAAGATGAAGAAATTAAAATTTTCCTTTCATGTCCACAATATTTCTACCAAGACTTGGAAACAGATGCGACCTTAACACTTGATTCCAAACACTTTCCTTCACACAAAATACAGTATGATAGTCATGAAGAATAAGTAAACGATTATGAGAAGTTGGTAATATTGGCTTCCTAACAAACACAGTATCACAGCAACAGCAGTAATTTGGTAACAAATAAATTCTGCTAAATGGATAAATCTCAAACCACCATTCATAAAACAAAATTAACATGCCAGAATGTGTCTAGAAGTAAAGCTGAACTAAAACAGTCCAAACAAACCATAAAATTTTTTCAACGGTAACTCTTCTGGAACCTCGCCCTAGCACCTCTTCCACCGAACTTCTTGGGCTCGCACCTCCTCGGATCAGCTGCTAGCAAGGTCCTATCGTACCTGACCAAAATATCCTTAATCTCCTTCTTGCTCTGTTCATCAACGTACTTCTGGTAAAAAGCGACGAGGGCTTTAGCGATGCTTTGACGGATAGCGTAGATTTGAGAAGTGTGGCCTCCGCCTTTGACTCAGATCCTCATGTCAACGCCAGCGAAACGTTGGCGGCCGAGAAGGAGAATTGGCTCGACGGCCTTGAAACGGAGGATCTCGGGCTTAACAAGCTCGATGGGACAGCCACTAATCTTGATAAGACCACGGCCTCTCTTGCAGTGCGTTACGGCCACAGCTGTCTTCTTGCGGCCGAAGCATTGCACGGACCCGATCGGTGCCCTTTCCGCCATTTTTTAGTGCAGATATAAGGCGTTGCGTTTGCCTAAAGTGAAAACCCTAGCGAAGGAAAATGACAGCGCGTTAAGATATTTATACATGGGAGGGCTTGGGGTTTTTGAAAGGATCGCGGTGCGTTTCAAAAGCCCAAATATCTGTATTTGGATTATAATTGGCCGCATTTAGAACCATTCTTATATTTTAAATCATTTGGTACATAAGTGATAGATAAAATAATATAATAATTATTTTATATTATATTTAATTTATATTTAAAATAATAATAAGATTACAAAAAAATTAATTATTTTTTAACATAAAATGATTCAATCTTTTTAAAATAAAAATAATTATTTTTAATTCATAAGATTGAACTTACGTATCTTAATATATCTTAAAAATTAAATCAATAATTTAAGTTATATAACATTTGAAAAAAAATAATTTTGATCCAATAAATAAATTATTTTATCTTAAATTTTACACATATCAAATATTAAATAAATTAATATTATTTAATTTAATCTTATTAATAATATTATTTTATATTATTATATCACGATTTTATATATCAAACATATCTTAAATTTATCAAAATAAACTTCTAACCGTGTATTTTTTTGGGTCGGGCTTAAAGTCCAAATACTTCATACTCGTATATTAATATCAGAATACAGGAGTGTATTTATTTTGATTTCCCTGGTGTTTTCAGGAGTTTTGTTTTTTTTAACATCCTCTTTAAAAATTTATAAAATAATGGATAAATTTATCACCGTACCAGAAGCAAAAATCTAATATATAGAAAAGCCAGGAGAGTAAAATAGGTTAATCAGATCTAAAACAAAAGCATACCATAGGGCAAAGTGTTGAAGAGTGTTAGTTTTTGGCATATTCAACGTTCTTCAAGTGGCAGTTGGGTATGGAAAAAGCTGCTTAAGTTTAAACGGCTAGCTTCCCCTAATAGATTCATTCCACTAATCCCTCTCTGTTGCTAAGGTGGGTTGGTAACAAGATCTGGTATGTATAAAACTGCAGAAACATGAAATGCTATACCAGACAAGCAACATGGAGTGGACAGGGACAAGATGCTTTGGTTTCACCATAACATCCTCAAGCATGGGCTGTTCGCTTGGATGGCTATCATAAACAAGCTGCTGGATGCCTATTCCCAACCGACTTTCCTCTTGGCATCTTTCTACTGCCAATTGCTTTCTTTGTATGCAAGCTGATGAAGATAGCGTGTATTTTTTCTTCCCTTGTTAAATCTTTGCCTGTTGTAACATTCAAACTAGCTTAAAATGCATGTATCTATTTCATTCGGATGAAAAGGAACAAAAGGAAGTTTGGAGGAGGGAAAGCTCATGAAAAGTTTACATAACAAGACTTCTCTCAGGCAAGAAAGGACAGCATGTTTTTCTTTGTCAGAATTGGAGACTTTGATTCCTTGTAAATTTTAGTTTACATTGTACATGTTTATACTTGCAGTATGGTCTTTGTTAGTTCTGCTACACTATTCTTTGTAGCAAGTTACATCCTTAAGTTCTTGGATAACTAAAAATCTACCATTTATCCCCGAAAATAGGAAATAAAAGGAGGAAAGCTCCAAAAGAATAACAATACCACAAGAAGATATGCAATATCATTGCCTACAGAGTTCCACCAGTTGATTAAGTGAACAAGGGAGAAGCTAGGAACACAAAATTATATGAGAAATATTACAACTAATTTCTCACTGTCAAGTTAAGCTAAAGCAGATGGAATTGTCAATGGATCTTAATGCCCAGTTTCAGCATATCAAAATCTTCAATCTTCAAAAGTTCATGTATATTTTCTATAATGCATGTTTACATATAAACAAAAAAGTATTAAATGCATACTTGAAGTAATCAAGCCTAAACAAGCTGAGCTTTAGTGCGAAAAAAATAACTTACTTTAGCTCAAGCTTGAGAGTTCAATTCAATTTCATTCACTACACCTCTACTTAAGGCCATTTCCTTCATTGAAACACTTTTTCTATAATTTCCAACTATGTCTTCATTAGTCTCTCTTACCAGTGGTTCGGTTTTTTTGGATAATCCGAAAAAACAGTTCAAAAGAATCATAAATAATCCTCGAATAGACAAACGAAACACGAAAAGCAGCAGGAATATATCAAATAAAAAACCACAATAACCTTAGGCTAATATCTATAGATTTATGCAATGAGTCTGAATTAACATTAAAGCAAAACAAACGTTTAAAATTCTGAAACTCAGTCATAGCTAATTTTATCCCACATAACAGAACTTAGTTCAAAATGAGCATAACACCATATCATATCTTGAAACAACAAAACCCAGTTTTCCAAACAAACCATAAAATTTTTTCAACGGTAACTTTTCTGGAACCTTGCCCTAGCACCTCTTCCACCGAATTTCTTGGGCTCGCACCTCCTCGGATCAGCCACCAGCAAAGTCCTATCGTACCTGACCAAAATATCCTTAATCTCCTTCTTGCTTTGCTCATCGACGTACTTTTGGTAAAAAGCGACGAGGGCTTTAGCAATGCTTTGACGGATGGCGTAGATCTGAGAAGTGTGGCCTCCGCCTTTCACTCGGATCCTCATGTCAACGCCAGCGAAACGTTGGCGACCGAGGAGGAGGATTGGCTCGACGGCCTTGAAACGGAGGATCTCGGGCTCAACAAGCTCGATGGGACAGCCATTGATCTTGATTAGACCACGACCTCTCTTGCAGTAGGTTACGGCTACCGCTGTCTTCTTCCGACCGAAACATTGTACGGACTCCACCGGAGCTCTTTCCGCCATTTTTTGGTTTAGGGTTTCGCAGATAAGAGTTTTGCGCTATGCTTAATGTGAAAACCCCAATCGTGAGGCGTTAAGAGATTTATATAGGGCGGTGGTTTAGGGTTTTGAAAGTGTCAGACAGTAATTTGAAAGCCCATGGCTTCTTTTTGGGCTAAAATTGAGCCGAATTTAATAACATTTTAAGGACTGTCCATTTTAAGAGATTAGATCGGATAAAATTTGGGCCAGACAAAATCCAATTTTGGTTGAATCAATCAAGAGGTGACACGTCTTTAAATTTTAACATTTATAATTTTTTTTTTATTTTCGTATTACGAGATCTTTTGTAAGAAATATAAGAGTTTATAATCTATTGTGATTTGTTTGGTGTTTTTAGGAGCTTTTTATTCCAAATTAATTCTACATTTTTTTAATAATGGAGTTGTTTATTGTTTAATGCTTACGAATAAGGTTAAATCAAAATAGTAAACTGAAAATTTAATTATTTCGCTTTAGTATTTTTGTGTATGCATAATCTTTTTAATGATACTTTAATTAATCACAACATTTATTTTATTTTTACATGCATATATATATATATATAAAATAAATGATTAACTTACATTAATGTTAATGTTATATGATTTTTTTATTTTTGAATGAAAATGATTAAGATTAAATTATTATTTTAATTCAATTCAAATATGAATGTAATTTTGATTTAAAAATTAAAAAATATATAAAACGCTTATATTAATATAAGTAAATTTCTACTCTATTTATTTATATATTTCTCATTAATAAAGTCCCATAATCTAATTCCTCAAATTTTATTATCCGTACATAAATTTTACACACAGACAATATATACATATATTATACATGGTTGTGTTTCATATATATATATATATATATATATATATTATACATGAGGTGGGGGACATCTTACCTTAAACACTTCACAGTCCATACAAAAGCAACATGAAGGCGGGGTTGGTGGGAATGGTGCACACAACTGCTTGTGCTACCTCACTCCCTCTCCGCAACGTTAGAGCCAGGGTTACATGTTCTTCTTCCTCTTGTAAATCATAGTTCTCATCATCATTTCTCAGCTCTTCTTTTATTTGCTTTGCATCTCAACTTTGATTTAGCCCCTCTAACATGATAATGCTGAAGCTGATCGATGTTGTTATGTCAGCGTGTTTGTTTGGGAAATGGGTTCATTTTACTTTTTTAACTACTAGGTAGATTTATGCAAGTAATTAGGATTAGCTTTTTATTTTAAAGAATCTCTTGATTTGAGTTTAGTATAAGACTTCTTTTTATTGGATATAGCTTGACAGCTTGTTCTTGTATGTGAAGAAAGTGTTGAATATTTGTGTGCCACTGTCAATCACAAATCAGTTGGATTCTTGGGTATTTGGTATGAATTTCAAAGTTTCAAATGTATTGGTTTGGGTAAAATGGATGTCAAGTGCAGGCAAAGGGTGGCTAGTTTATTGGAAATATGAAGTGGTTGTGATATATGATGCACAACCAGAACCTAATATGTAGTTAGCTAGCTAGTCAGTCGAACTACATTCCACTTAGCTGTGAGCCTAGCTTGAGCAAGTAATTCAGTTTTCTTTTCTTTCAAAATATTCTTGGGCATGTTGAACTTGTCATCTTAAAACGTTTCGTGAACCAAATGCGGGCCATATATCATTCATTAAAGATGTAGCTGCCATTCAGCCACCTGAGAATCTTCATCACTTGCTTAAAATGCTTCAAACGAGAGGTATGCAGCAGTTATATTACCTACTCATTCTACATTTATTAGTAAGGTTTGGCAATATTTTATTCAAGAATTTCTAACCTAATTCGTATAATTTTTGTGTTATTGCTAAAGTTTAAACCATTGATTACATGATATATTCTAGGACAATGGTGTTGGATTTTAATTACTGGCTGGGAATAAAAGTTTTAGTTCCTTAGGCCTTTTTTCTGTTTTTTCACAGAGAAAATTTATTCATGCTGATTGACTTCATGATTAATCTTGACATAGTTTCGGCTGATAGCACTTCTTTGATATTTGTTAAATCACAGGGCAACATTAGAATTATTTCTTCTCAAATGCTTCCTGATATAAAGATAAACTGTATTTGAACATGTGCGTCTCCTGCAGATTGGTTTTCTCATCATGTTTGTATTAACAAACTGATTGCTTATTTCGTGATCTTCCATTTTGATCCTTATTAACTGGGTATTAGAACTCTCACATTTCTAGAAAATCTGTACTAGGGGTGCTTTTGCTGAATCCCAAATCTCAAATCTTGATGGGTATCTCTTAAAAAAGGTACATGAGACTGTTTATGAAACAGTCCTAAGTCAAAAACTCAGTTCTCTAAGTTCATGTTCACAATAAGACATTGTTCTGCCATAAAGTTGGATTCTTTCCAGATTTGTTGGAGCGTAAAGTTATGCGACATTTTGAGGAGGGAGATCAAGTAAGAATTGTCTGGTTTCGGTCCCAAACATCATATTCTATTTTTGTAGTTGTGCTAAACCTTTTTCTTCTCTTTTTGACAACCATGGGGTTGGAACTTGGAAGGTTTCTGCTTGGTGACGGGAATTCTATACAAAGGAGGACCTCTTTCCAGGATTTGGAAGGCCCTTTGTATTTAATGCGGAGATTTTACTTAAGTTAATAGAAAGATTTTATAATTAAATGTTTAATATCAATTCATTGTGCTTCACTGGTTCTAAAGAGGGTTTTTTAAATCCCTTTATGTAGAGCAGGGCGTACATCAGAGGCAAAAGATTCTGCGAGGGTGGCTTTGAAATCACCATGATGGACTTTAGGCGGCGCATATCAGGCAAGGAACTTTTCTTGATCATCAACACATTCCTTTCAGATTTAATATGTCACCCTTCTTTTAATATTCTTTTCCAAGGATGTGCTGTGATCAGGATGTTGCTGGTATTGCACAATGGGAGGATGAGCTAATTGAATACATCAAAGAGAAGGTGACAGAAGAAGGTAGACAAGGAGACTTCAAGAAAGGGAAGGCTCCCGCCTAGGTAACATTGTGGCACAATAATGTCATACAAAATTTTAACCATTGATACAGGGAAAAACACTTGTGTGGGCTTAAAACCTTTTGTTGATTGTTAATTTTAGTTAATAATGAACCCCCTCTGTAGGTTGCATTAGATGAGGATGCTTTTCTGTTGGATTTGGCTTCTATTGAAGGAACCTGGGGTGACTCTCCGGACCGCGTTGCAGAATGTTACAAAGAGGCTGGTCTCAGTGAAATTGCTAGTTTTATTTTGTATAGAGATTAAGATTTGAGTACGAGTAACAAGAAACCAATGGTTGAGAAGTTGCCAAATTTTGAATGACTTTATTCAGACAGAGAGGAACAAATTTTTTATCTATTTTTGAGAAACAAATGTTGTATAGAAAGAGATTGGTAAAGCATCATCTTAGACTTGATAGGTTGACTTTGAGAAGGGAAAGCACATCTGCTTTAGCACAAATGATAACTCTCTGGTTAAAGCCACAAACTCCAGTGTTGCTACTTACTTTCTCGGAACCAAGATGTGCTTCAGAAGTATGTAACAGCAAACCTGAAGCTTGCAAGTTCATGCAATCATTGGAGTTCACCCTTCTATGACAGTGGTGGAAGCACCACTGTTGGATAAAACCTTGTGAAGGAGTACTGCATCTTGTGGTGAGGCCAACACCATTACTTGTTTACCTGGGTTCAGAATTGTTTCTTGGCACTCTGCCAACTTGACTGAAGCTGCTGTAATTTCCCAACCCTGTTTGTTGGAAAATCTGACATAACATCACTATTTGCTATTCCAATGCACAATACGATGCAGTGAGTAGGAAGCTAAAAGAAGCTTTAATGCCATCACACTTCATACGATGGCATCCAAATGCACCATTAGTTGTGATTTTGCTATTTATTTTCGATTCGTAGAATAAAAGAGGAAGTAATTATTAGATATAAATTCATGTCGTTCAAATTTGTATTCATATGTAAATTTCTACTAAAATTAGTTAGACATGATGATTCCTATATTATTATTGTATAAAATATTAAATTTTATATATTTATAATATATTTTATACGAAAATTACGTATCATAATTTATATCGATATGAAAATATAAATTATATTTTTTAATTTTGTTTAAATCCATATATAATTATTATTATTAAAATTTTAAATTATATAATCTCATATTTTTTATATTATATTCGCATTGTGTTATTGCAGACTTGATAATTTAAATATAATACGATAACACAACATAAATACTTTTTTATAAAAAGAGATATGAAAATGAAACGGCCTAGAATTTTAATAATAATTATATATGAATTTAATAAAATAAAAATATATATTTAATATTTTTGTGTTGATATAAATTTTGACATGTAATTATTGTGTAAAATACATCATGAATTCATGAATTTTATTATTTTATATCATATAAATACACGAATCGTAAAATTTTTGTTATCTTATCGTATTTTAGATTATTAAATCTAAAATTAATGTTAGAATTTGATTTATAAATTAAACAAATTGAGATTGAAACCTTAATTAAGTCACTTGTTTCATTCATTTATACAAGTTAGCAATTTTTATTTTTTGCTTTTTTAAAGATTTTTTTAATCAAACATAATTTCATATTTATGTACTTTGTACATTGTCATGATTTTGTTATAGACTTTAATTTAATTTTATATTAAATTTGTTTAATAATATATTAGTTTGGTTGATTTATTTATTTAACTTATTTTTATATTATAGTTATTATAATTATAATTTTTACTTATACCTTGAGTTTTATTTTTAAAAAATACATTAAAAATGAATTAAAATAAATGATAAAATGAAGTTTTTAAATTATGACGGGCTTATGATTCTAAAGTGGAAATGAAGGGGCAGCCAGCACGAATGTTCCATGCAAATAAAATTTCCTTCCTGGAAGTAACCGACATAACCCGCGTTATAAGAAAAACACAAAGCAGGAGGGACAAACTCGACGGCACAAAATTTCGAGGAAGATAGAACTCATCTGAATCTCGCTTC